CTAACCAAGGCCTTTGTGAGGCAACTCCACGATGGCATGAACGGCAGTGTCCTACACAATGGTACCCAATATGAGTTCTTCCCCATTCAAATTTGGGGTAAAACAAGGATGTGTACTGGCATCAACTCTCTTTTCCATTTTCCTGGCTGCCTTCCTTACTCATGCCAGTGCCAATTTAGCCGGCGGGGTGGACATCCAGTACCGGATGAAGGGTCTTTTCAACAAAAGACAACTCCAGGCAGGAACAAAGGTATCTGCAGCTTCCATTTTGAACTTCAGTATGCAGACGACCTCACCCTTGCCGCTCACACTGAACGCGACCTACAGATCCTGAATACCTACGCAGATGCTTATGCACAATTCGGCCTTGAGGTGAATGTATGTAAGATTCAGATTCTTTTTCAGTCTGCTCCTGGTTCAGCCACACCTCCACCATCCATCCATCTTAATGGTACTACCCTCTCTAATGTTACCCACTTTCAGTATCTTGACTCCCCTCTGTCCACCACCACGGACATCAATAAAGAAATTCAGCATCGGATCAGATGTGCATCTCGAGCCTTTGGCAGACTCCTTACCCATGTCTTCAGCTGTAGGGAGGTGAAATTATCTACAAAGTTGCACGTACAGTATATCGAACAGTGGTTCTCCACACCCTGCTATATGGCAGTGAGACATGGGTCACATACAGGAGGCACCACAAGAAACTTGAAATCTTTCACCAACTTAGTCTTAAGTCCATCCTCCAAGTTTGCTCGGAAGACAAGAGAACAAATGCCAGTATTCTCGCTGACATCAACTGTAGGAGCATTGAAGCTACCATTATCCATGAAAAACTATATTGGACTGGCCATGTTTCCCATATGGATGACAGTAGACTGCCCAAGCAGCTATACTTTACAGTCACCTAATGAATAGTAAATGTAACGCTGGCAGGCAACTGAAAAGATATAAGGATAGTATGATGAACATAACCTAACCTAACCTAAAAAGTGCCAAATCAATCCCTTCACCTGGGAGATGATTACTCCACATCGTAATGCTTGGAGGAGCACCACACGAGAAGGTGTCAATACTTTTGAGTTAGCCCAACTGCCGGTCCCATATCGGCCTCTCTAGCTCACCAATGATGGTGATATCCTGAATAACTCATATCATTGAAGCATAGTTGGATGTTCATCATACTTGATTCCAAGTAACAGCAAAGTAGTAGTAGTTCTGTAGAAGAAACATTTTCTAGTTTGACAATAACTGTGTGTTCTGTAGTAGCACCGTCTAATAGTTTGACAGTGTGTGTGTGTATTCTGTATAGCACTGTCTACTAGTTTGACTGTGTGTGTGTGTGTGTGTGTGTGTGTTCTGTAGTAGCACCATCTACTAGATTGACAGTGTGTGTGTTCTGAAGTAGCACCATCTACTAGTTTCACAGTGTGTGTGTGTGTGTTCCGTAGTGGCAACGTCTTTTACTCTGACCGTATATGTGTTATAATGGTAGTTGTAGCGATACTGGTGGTGGTAGGAGTGTTGTAGTTATAATGGTGGTAGTACTAGAATGGTTGTTATAATGGTGATAGTAACACATTAGTTATAATGGAGGTACTGTACTAGTACTGTAGTATATTAATGTATCATACTTCTTATAACGGACGAGTTAAGTTCTTGAGGCAGGTCCACTAAGCGAAAGGTCCATTAAAAAGGCCATTATAACGTGGTGCTTATGAAGATGGGTTCTTGCTAATAGCGAAATTAGTTGAAATGATAATAAATCTCTATAAATACACTACTTTCTTCCAGAATGATTAAATAATGATTAAATGTACCAAAAATAGGTCTTAAACATTAGAAAAGTTTTGTTACTTAGAAATACACATAATTTTCCATCACCGTCTCCAAACGAAAAGTAAACATAAGTGGCAAGCAAACAGCTCCAACGCAAAGATAATAAAATCACAAATATGGCCGCCGTGAGGTGACAATACTTGACATTTGGATTCAAATGAAGACTTTGTTAACATCAATAATAAATTAAACTAAATTTATTAACACTCATCAGTTAATATTTTTGGGGAACTTGCTGTGTGGTTTACCACCAACCAACATCAACCTGATGCTCACCTACCACAGCTCTTCATATAATTTTCATTTTCACAACCATAAAGTGACATCTCCGTTAGCCAGAACAATTGTTGCAGAGCACTTCCGGGAATGAGAGATTTCCGGGTAATGAAATGACCTTCTCCAAGCTGGAAAAAACACTCGACCGGAATTTTCCAGGGAACGGAAAAATGTTCTCCGAAGTTCCAGAAACTGCGCATTACATCATCTCTTGAACCCGGAAAAATATCCCCTATCGCCAGAATTTTCCGGGTACCAGAAAATTTTTCTCAGAATTTCCAGAAAATGCCTGATTTTCATTTCTCAAACCTAGAAAAAACTCCCCCATCCCCAGAATTTTACAGGCACAGGTACTGGGAAAATGTAATCTGAATTTTCCAGAAAATGTGCCCCATGGAAAATTGTTCCCAAACCCGAAATTTTCCAGAAAATTCCGGCTTTGGGAATGATTTTCCAAGAAAATTTCAATTCTGGCTATCGGAGAGTTCCAGTTAAGAGGGATTCCGACGAACAGAGATATTACTGTATTGACTTTCCTGAGCCTCTGTTAACGGTCATGTAATATTTCAATGTGATTCCGATCTTTAAAAATTTTGTTTTTGCATAATGTAGTATTACTGATACGTAATTTGTCTTAGTATGTCTTATTGTGGGTAAAAATAGGTACTGTATATTAAATGCAGCCTCTGAAAGCTTGAATTTGCTAACAGAGTTTAACAGTTAATTCATGTATAATACTTCTGATAAACTTCCTACATGCTTATGTTTGAAATAATGAATGTATGTATCTTTATATAAATATGTTTCTCGTCAGAAATGGTCATCCCAACGATTAAGAATAAACTCATATAAAAATACATCATTACTTCAGGACAAAAATCGGACAGGTTTGCAACAGCCAATCAGCTGTAATTCTTGAGGAGGGGGCAGGGCATCTTTTCTCAGCTGAGAAAAAATGCACTATAGTAATTATAGTTGTGGTATTAGTAGTTATAATTAAGATAGTGATAGTTATAATGGTAACAGTAGTAATTAAAATTCAAAATGTGGAACAAGGCAGCTTCACTCCTGTGGTGTTCAGAACTTCTGGCAGTAAGAGCCAAGTGCAAGATGCTTCTATGCAAGACTGGCTGAGGTGTTATCCAAACGGAAGCAGCAGCCCAGAAGTTATGTTGCAGCCGAGTTAAGATGTCGACTGTCCTCTCTGCTCAGGTCTGCATTGCTTTGCCTCAGGGGAACATGATCTTCGGCCCCAAAGCCGACAACGGTCGCAGATGTTGATTTTGAGGCAACAGTCACTGAATGCCGCACATATCTACGGCGTAACCAACTCAGCTAGCGTAGTTACTTTTGTATTAGGATATTTAATATTAAGGTAATAAAATGGTGGCAAAGGTGTGGCTACTAGGGGAGGCTGGAGGCCAAGATAAGCAAAAGTCATAATGGTGGTAGTAGTAGAATTTATAATAGTAACCATGTATCATTCCTGAAGTAATTTCTTGACGTTTGCTACATTTAGTTTTTTTTTTATAAATTGTTGACTCTGGTTTAGCAACCAGTTTGATTTAAAAAAAGACATTGCACAAATTTTTTGATGCCTGCCTACTGTTGACCCTAGGTACAGTCGGCCTACAGTTCGTGTTTGAAACAAAATATCTGGTAATACTATCCTGAACAGAAGACAAAATTACAAAATGACCTGTAATTTATGTTTTATTCCTACATTTATGTTATAAATACACTTGTTGTGAATGTTTTACTAGTATCTTGTGTTTATATTACAAGTAATATATTGTACCCAATGGTAGTAAACTTGTTGCCGAATGGGATTGCAGTTATCATACAGCTCCCTCCTCCTCCCCCACTTTTTCTTTTACCCTACTTCTTTTTTTTTAATAATGTTTGGAAGGAAGGAAGAGGAGTAAATAGAAGAATAAAGAAGGGGAAACAGAAAATAGTTAGAGATAACAGGTGGGGGAGCTGAGTTTCATCATGCTTCTGGATGCGCAGTTTAAACGTTCCCAGACCATTTTCGGACCTTACAGCTACAGTGTGTATACTTATTCCTGTGGCTGACTGTACTTATATAAACAATAATCAACATTATAAAAATTCTGTGAACAACAGTTCTGGGTTATGCCAAGGTAAGCAGTTTATCCTCTGGATTATATGAGGAGCTCCGGACCATGATCTACTACGTGCCAAAAGAGAAAATAGGGGAAAATGCTCAGGTAGGAATGTGTAACATACACTAGTCTTTTCAGAGGACTCTCACCCACATATACAGGTTCCCAATTGGCTCTCTGACTTACCCAGGGGACAGAGGAGAGTTGGGAATACGTACAATACATAACACGTTGCAGCGATAGATGGCTCTTAGAAGGTTCTGGTCTATAGCCCTTCATAATATATTCAATGTACAGTCACCCAAAAAAGTCCTGTCGCGAACCACGATTCAGACTCGTGAACCCGAAGCAGTAGACACTGATACATTATTCTGTCCATAAACGCTTCGGATTCAAGAGTCTGAATCTCAGGGTTCATGGATCGCGACAGGACTATTTTGGGTGACTGTACAGTACAAGGAAGACATACAGTCCACTGCCCCAGCTGGGAAATGAACAAAATCATTCATTAACACTAAACTATTATCAATATTTGTTTTGGTTACCTGTAAAATGGAGTCAAATGAAATTTAACTTCCTCCATTTCATTCATTGAAACTGTGTCCTATAAAATTCTGTGTAGTCACTCCTGGTGGTAGAGGGATCAGTGAGCGAGGAGGAAGCTCAGAATCTCATTAACTTGTACATTTGTTCCCCTTCAGTGAGTTACAAAGATGAATTGAGGTTAATAATGGGTGTACAGGAAATTATAAACCATAATCAAACCATAATCTTTATTCATAAAAAACACATCTCCCACAAAACTCCTAATACCAACACTACTAAGAGGAAGACTATTTTCAGTCGTAAAAAAGTCTTAGTGACTGATCAACGTCAATAATGTACATCACATATATAGTCTTCAGCAATCTGTATAAAAATAATATTAAGGGTCACCGTAGCCCGTCTGGAATGCACTGTGTCATTAAGACAGACACACAATCAGCTACACAAAATACCATATACTGTATAATAGACTATGAGCATCACAGCACCAAAAGAAATATTTGAAAGATACTCATAATTAAACAGTTTCCAGTGAGGAAGATAAAGTTAACAAGTAAGAAGTTAAAGTAGAACTTTTAGCAAAAGGTCAGTTTTCTGGAATGTTTCACCGTTTGTTTCATCAGATACAAATTCCGACGTTATCATTCAGGATATTTCCCGGTTCTTTAAGGCCTCAATATTTTATATACCCGGATAATCATTTTTTTAAGCCTTTAATTTCATCTTAAACAGACTATATTTACATGAAAAACAGTAGGAACTAGACACGAAGGTGATTCACTCCCTGGTAGTCACAGAATTTTACCATCAAATTCTTTATTCTAGTTATATGAATAAACCAGAGAAAACATTAAAACCTTTATTAAACTATACACCAAACATGAACAGAGTACAGTACAGCCTGTTATAAATAAAGGTAAGACTACCAGAGTGAATCACCTGTAATTTCCCCAAAATACATACAGAGAGTTCTAATTTTGATGACAAGTTCTATAATGCACCAGCATAAAGTTCTTATTTCCATTTGTTTTCAACCAAATTTAGGGAGTTATGATGCAGAAGCTGTAAAGGTACCTTTTACGTAAGCTCTAATATTTATTCACCATTCAAAATAATACATTGCAGAAGTCGAAACTCCCCCTTCTGAACACAATAAAACCTCCAAAGAAATATTTGCTCTTGCCTCTAAAATACCAATGCCTTAACTTCAGTCATATATAACAGCAAAGCCTCAATTCTGTTTTATATCCCCAGACTGGTAATAAACAGAAATGAAACCTGAACAAATAAAATAATTACAATGTATATGATTACTATTCACTTCAGAGATAAATGGTGTCACACAATATTCTCAACAAATTCTGGTACAGTATTTCAAAATCTTACATCTGGGGACATTAATGACAAAAAGATGCCATAAGGTTCAATCTAATCCAATGAGCTGTAAGTGAAAGTGAACTTCATATAAAACTTCTAAAAGTGGCAAAGTTTGAAATAGGAACAATGTACTGTAACAACTTACAAACAGTAACTATGTTAGTCGAAAAAATTTTTTTAGACAGATGATCATATTAGGTTCCGTCACCCACTTAAGTCCCGTCATTTCTCCTGCTGTTTCACAAACCCCGAGATTTAGACTCGTGAACCTGAAGCAGTAAAAATTTAAGCATTATTCTGTCCATGAATGCTTCAGATTCACGAGTCTGAATCTCAAGGATTGTGGTTCAGGAGAGGCGACAGGACTTTTGTAGGTGGCTGTACACGTCAGTCTTAACATGTACTGTTCGAGTGCCCTGTAACAAATAAATATCAAACTTGTAGAGGGCACACACATTAGTGTACATCTGATATAAACAATGGGTGCACTTCCTCAGAATGTAGGAGCCACCATACTTGTGTTGTTAACTGTAAATGGATCAATTGTACAAAACAAAGTACAGTATGATCATTTATTCAATGTATTTGATAAGACAACATTACTGGGTCACCCATATAAGCATTCAGTAATGCATTGGGGGTTTAAGTGTCAAGACATGTTTATATACAAGGCATCATCTTTTATAAGAAGAGGTAAAAGGATAAGTGGATATCAGGTTTAAATAAATAGAATGCAAGTTACACATTAACTCGAATCTTGTCCAAATCTCACACCTGAAGAAAGATCCTGGCATACACCAACACAACATAAAAGTCAACTACAACAGGGGCATGGCAGATGGATCCCATGGAAGGCAAGTGTAAACAAACTAACAGGAAATGTGCTGATGACTTAACAAATACAGTAGAGAAACTGACATTTACCTAAACAGAAATGTCAATACAGTACATTCTCACTTTGGTTCAGACATACAGTACAGTAGTATGTGCTATATAATCATGAGGAAATGAGACATGCACCTCCAATTGTTCTTATAACAGTTTTCCAACTTGGGAAAGAAAACTATCCATTACTATATCAATAAATATTTCACAGGCCTTTATAAAACCTAGATAAAAAAAAACTATTGTTTGACAAATGATATTACAATACAATTCAGGATGTGCAGATTATGTGGAACATTTACTTGTCCCAAAAAAGTGACTTCTAAAATTAACTTGCCCAGATATTTTTTTTACTTGCACTGACACATTTAATGAGGAAATTTGCTTGCCTGCATTTTTTATGAGAAAAGTTAAAAACACATACTTAAACATTCAAATTTATTGCGTGTATCCACTCACAGATCATTTGTCTGTGATCGCCCACCATAACTACATTACCCCCACTCCCCGCTATAATCTGGTGCTCATAGCAGTAACACTTCGTGAGGTCATGACTCCTGCCACAGCAAGTCTACAGCTTCTCAATTTGGTAGTTCCTTTGAAATGTTGACAACTTGACACCAGCTGACTAAAGGTGGGTTGGCAGCTTACTGTAGATATAGTTAGACACATCTGAAATAGGTCACTCATCCCAGTACACTGATGTCGGACTTCCCTAGTTAAACGTGTACAGGGAGGTGGGGTCATGCAGCACCTGATAAATTCCAATCTAGGTATTTAGCTTGCCTGTTGGCCAAATGGACATGAAAAATCACTTGCCCGGCCCCTAGTCTGAGCATGTTTAGGCTGCCGGGTACTGCTAATCTGCACAGCCTGATACATATATATGAAACTTGTAAGTTTCTTTTGTTTACCAAACAAATTCCCAAAAGCTGGGAATGCTGTACAGATGACATAGCTACTTCACTCCTGAGCAGTTGCTTCAAGTTTATAAGGGATTCATTCGTCCTAACTTGGAGTACTGCTCTCATATCTGGGGTGGCTCTTCTTCTGTCCAACTGTTAGATAGGGTGGAATCAAAGGCACTTCATCTTATTAACTCTCCTCCTTTAGCTGACAATCTCTCTTCCCTTTCTCTTTGCCGCAATGCTGCTTCTCTCTCTCTTTTACAGGTACTTTAATGGGCAATGTTCGGTGGAATTGGCATCCTATGTACCGCTGGCAAGGCTGTGGGCTAATAACACTCGTCTTGCCCGTGGTGCCCACTGTTTCTCTGTGGATGTCGGTTACACTAGAATAACCCATTATAGTACATCTATCTTTCCCCACACAGCCAAACTGTGGAATGCTCTGCCTTCTTCTGTGTTTCCATAATCACACAATGTCTCACTTCAAAAAGCTGGTTTTCCGGCATCTTCGTGGTGTAGATTAATACGGGGTATAATTTTTTCTTTTCTATTTTTAATTTCTTTTTACTCTTATTTTTTTGCCCCCTAAGCCACACTGTGGGTCGATGACCTGCGCCCAGGTGGGCTATTCCCCGTAATAATAAAATAAAAAAAAACTGTACCTTTTGCTTTTGGGAAAGAAGACAAAGAAAAATATTGAAAGACCCAGAACAAATTGTAATAGCAATTATCTTGACATTATTCAACTTGAACACATGACTCAAATAAAATAGTGAAAGTATAACTGAATAAAAAAAATGGGAACACTGTCTAAAATGCATAAATTCAAAATGGCCATCAAATAATTGAGGTAAACCTAGTGGAGGCTGATTTTATCAACATATATTTGTTTCGTGTTGAAAGGCTGACACGTTTTCACTTTCAGATACAGTATTTGGGAAGTATTCTGCTTGTACTACTTTGCTGCAATGTCCAAAGAAAGTATGGATGATAATTATAATTGTACACACTAACCATCTATTTCTACTTAATTCACTTATGCTGTATGTAATGATGTACAGTTGAGCAAAAAAATTCATTCCTTCTAACAGCCACAATGTGACTGAAACACCTGAGGTTTGAACAACAAAGCAGTAGTGTTCACCAGTTATAAACTACTCATATATCACTCGCAAGTAGATGCCAGATAGTGTCAGGAATGTATGGTGTCTCACATATCATGCACCATAGAAAAATTGATGCTTCTCTCTCTTTTTTTCAGACAAGGGAATCATAACAAATCAACAAAATTTGGATGATGAGGACTAGGTGGAGGTGTTGACTGTACCAGTGAGGATAGGTAACAATCAGTTGTCCCTAGATATAGATACATGGGCCTGTGCTAATGTTATTTCATCATCGTCACTTAATGAATTAAAGAGACAGTATTCTCCTAATAAGTGGCTGGTATTACCTACAGACATTCCTCTGTCCAGTGGCCCAGGAATCCAATTAGATATAGCGAGGGTGACAATACTGCCAATCCATTTTTCTTGTTCCAGTAAAACTTTTCTGGCAGATTTCTACATAATAAAGGCAAAATAACATTAACTTTCAGCCAAGAAACCAGACAATAACACATAATTGTAATACTTACTAGAATGTACTCTGGGTGTTCATGTAGTAACTGGCTCGACAGGTAAGGGGGAGTTTATCGCAGAGAAACAACTAGTAAAGGAGTCATCCCCTGAAACCCCACTTAGCAGTTGAAATGAAATTCAGGATGAAAGTGGCAAGAACTGGATTTAAACACCTGTTGTGTACAACAGCTACACAACCAGGATTTAACTAGAATCACAGTTCATTTGCCAAATGTGAATGAAGGAACAAATATAATATATCTAAGTGAAAGTGTATGCGTGAAAGGCTTGTCATTTGAGTCTACCTTAAGTACAGTCAGGTAAGGTAGTCTCACAAATGTCCTTGTTCTCAACAGAACCGGAGGACCTATAGCCGTAAGAAAGGGATGTTGTTTGGGTAATTTTCTTTTCTACAACTGAACGGTCACAACAGAACCGAGAAATCAGACATTCAAGATAAAGCAGAGTTAATAACTTCACACTTGAAAATTATCAATCATCTTCACAATAAAAGTGATCTTTTAGTCTAGCCAAATTTATGAAAATCATAGCATTACCTGGCAAACCACTAAGTAAAATGAATCTGACAGCCCATGAAATTCCACCTAGGTTGAACACCCACCCGATTTACATCCTGTACCAGCACATCAGCTACCCCTCAGTTTAACAAATGGTACAAGAAAAGGTGAAACAAAAGGTTATCCAACCTTCCTATGTCTATTTTGATGATCTTATCATTGTGAGGAAAGATTTAAAAGCCAATTAAAGAAACTACGTGAAGTTTTCACAAACCTACAAACAGCTGGATTGAAAGTAAAACTTTCTTAATGTGAATTTCTTAAATCCAAAATCAAATAACCTTGGACATGGCAGTGGATGGCAATGGTATACAAACCATAGACTGCAAAGCAAAGGCGATGAAGCAGTTTCCTTGTCCTAAGAACATAGATGGACTTCATAGTTTCCTGGGATTATCAGGATAATATCGATCTTTCATTGTAGGTTATGCCATGGTAACCCCCCCCCCCATAGAATATGGAACAAGACAGTTTTAATGCACTCCAGGGAGCTATAGCCAATGCTCTGGTATTTATTCCGGACTATATGAAGGCATTTACCACTTGCACCAATGCCTTTGCTCATGCAAAGAACAGATTAACATTAAATACATTATCTAATTCAATATACAAAACACAATTAAAACCTGGATTGACAATATACTTGACGAACACAGAGACAGAGTGACAGCCGGGCAACAAACACATTATAAACAACATACAGGGTGGAGTGAAGCATTAAACCGATCAATGGTGAGTCAATATTGACCACACAAAAAAGTAAAAATCAGTCTTATAAATACACGAAAAAGTTATTAAAATATCAATTAGTTTCCAAGGAATGCAACTGAATGTAAAATGTTTGTTGTTCTAAGACAAGAAAAAATAAGAAACATCAATACTACATACAAGGGTTATCTTTTCTATTTACAGGACTTGTTCTTTTTTTTTAAACTTACAATGCAATCCTTCTCACACATGCACAGTACAGTAAAAGTCCAAAAATCCGGATGCCAGAAATCCGGACTTTTAGGAAATTAATATTTTTTTTTTCTAGCGGGCTTTTGTGTGTGTGCGCGCCTGCGTGAGTGCCACAGCTGCACAGCGACAACAAGCGACCACGCGGTCGCCACTTTAAAAAGAGCAATCAAACTGTGACAATGTATGTAATTATGAGTCCTACTCTTTTCATTTACAGAATACTGTACTGTACAAGCCCATAATAATGGCTCCTAAAGTAGATAAACTTCGTTGTGTGAAGAGAAAGAAGAACACGTTGAAATTGAGTGACAAACTTGAAATAATTAAGAAACTAGAACATGGTGTGAGCAATACTGTTCTAACAGAAACATACGACATTGAAAAGTCTACAATTTATGATATAAAAGAGGCAAAGAATAAAATTCTAGAATTCACAGCTTTTTCCTTAAAACTGCTCGTTTTGATAAATGAAGCATGCTATATTTGCTAATGAATAAACTATCAAAATGTACCTGTTCATCTCTTCTTTATTCCTCCTTAAATTTGAATTTTAAAAGTACTGCCTGAGAATCCGGAAAATCCAAAAATCCGGACCAACCCAATCCCCAAGCAGTCAGGATTTTTGGACTTCTACTGTAGTAGTTTGGCACAGACAGAACAGTCACTCAATATTTCAATTGTCTACAGTAAATGCCTCTAACTGATAAAGGCTTTGGGTATACTTTATAGTACTGTATATCATTTCAGGTACCCAGTAATATCTCCGTTAGCCAGAATCCCTCAAATCCGGAACTCTTCAATAGCCGGAATTAAAATTTTCTGACGGACACATTTTCTGGAAAATTCTGAGAAAATATTCTCAGTACCCAGAAAAATCTGGGAGTAGGGTTTTTTTTTTCCAGGTTTGAGATATGAAAACTAGGCGCATTTTCTGGAAATTCTGAGAAAAGTTTTCCGCTAACCGGAAAATCCCGGGGATGAGGGATATTTTTCCAGCTTTGAGAGATGATGTAATGCACAATTTCTGGAACTTCCAAGAACATTTTTCCTTTACCCAGAAAATTCTGGGGATGAGAGGTTTTTTCCAGTTTCAAGTCGTCTCATTACCCGGAAATCTCTCATTCCTGGAAGTGCTCTGCACCAATTGTTACGGCTAACGGAGATACAGTGAGTTCTGCTATAACGCGTGTTTTGATAACGTGAATTTGCTCTAACGCGATTTTTGAATTAGGAACGATATTTGTATAAAGCGAACGCTTGTTTGCTATAACGCGATTTTTGCTTACTATTTCTCCAATTTTGTGGTATTAACTGTGAATATGGTAAAGAAGAATATCTCCAAGAAGCGTTCTGGTGATAGAATTCCCGGTGATGATCGTTAAAGAAAGGATATAACACTTGAAGAGAAGCTCGATTTTATCAACCTCAAAATCACCCTTCTCCCCCATCAAGTTACATTCATATTTTTTCAAGGTAAAGTGTTACATTTATTGTATGATTTCATTATTAGATAGGAATGTAACATTTATTTAGACTGTGCTATCCTTTGTGTTAGGCTAACTACTAAATTTTTTCGATTTCGAGTAATCTGCACCTAACCCTATTTTCTCCATAAGCCCTGTTATTTCTATTACGCGATTTTCTATAACACGATATTTTACAAGAACACAATTATCGCGTTATAGCAGAACTACCTGTATCACTGTACTTACACAGAAGAATAATGTATGTCAAGTGCCCACAAGTCACCCATGATGGACTACTAAATAATATAAAACTCCAGGGCTTTCAGCTGTATGTTCACAAAGATGACCCAGAAATGACTTCAAGAGGAGCAAAGGGGTGGAGTAAGAGGGCAAAGATGAGGGTCAGGCTTAATGAGAGTAAATCAATAAGCTTATAAAACAAACTCCAGCATTTGGGTAATAAAATTAATAAAGATATGATTAACACCAAAAGGGGTTAGATGATTATTACCTCATCCAATAAGAAACATCTGTGTGAGTTGAGACAAGTATGATCACCCTAAATATATTCTGGAATGTTCGAGAACCATCTAGCTATTACTATTTATGTGCTTTGCATCTTTCCACACTACCCCACTGTCCTCCATCCTCTCATACACACCCTAAGCAAGCATTTTTGTCGTGATGACCAGGTGTCACAACTCGCAAACCAGATGTCGGCATTTGAACAAAAACTCAAGTGGATCACAAAGCTGAAACTGCAAGAAAGACGGGAAATATTTTGGAAGTGTTTGATAAATGATTTGGAGACTTTGCGAAAGAGAAGAACAATTTGGAACTGTACAGTAATCCCTTCTCTGTCTCACCTCAAGACATCAAACCAAAAGACCCAGTTAGAACTAACTGATATCCAGAATTGTTTCATATTTCATGCAAAGTTATTGGAAGGGAACTTGTTCAATTTCTACAAGTATTTGCCTCAAGATCAGTATCGATATTTGCAAAAGGAAGTTGCTATTTGTGCTTGTTTAATTGGCTCCGCTTACATCTGTGAGCAAACATTCAGTCAATTAAATCTTAAGTCAAAGATTCGATGTAAGCTAAATGACAAGAATCTGCACTCCATTTTGCGACTGGAAACCACAAAGTTAGAAGCTCATCTCATAGACACACACAGTGCCAAATATCACATTAACATTAAGAAAGATCATCCATGTGGTAAGTATATTATTAGATTATTTATTTTCACTGTAATAACTTAATTAAAAGAACACATATAAAATCAGCTAACACCAGTTGTATGACATATATAGACACTCTCCGAATTACAGAACACTCAGTTTACGGAAATTCGAGGATACAGAATGCCTCCCATAAGTCCCATTCTAAAAATTTTCGGGTTGTGCAATTGTTTCTGTTATTACGGAAGGTAACTAGTACGGCATAAAAACACTATTTGTGGCGGATTTATGCATAAGGTGGCGGAGCGCACCCCTTGTGAGACGCCATCTGTGATTCAGTACAGGGTACAGTACATGTTTACCTTATGGAAGATAGGGTCCAGGAATGGAACCTTTCCATAAACCGTGGAGTGTCTGTACTAAAGACAGTCTATTGCTGGTTATTAAAAGTATTTGGAATACATTTGATTGAAATTTTTAAATGTATGGCTTAATTGGGCAGGTACTCATAATTATGAGTACCTGCCCAATTTTGCAGCCCCATTTTATGAGTCCTCCTTCTGATGTGGCCCCAAATAAAAAGGTTAAAGACTGATCAAGGTAGATCTAATAATTTGTTTTTCCATTATCATGTAAATGTGGATTTGGTCTCAGGACCAAGTTGACCCAGAAGTTAGCTAAATTTGTCACTTCAAAATGGAGAGACTTTCTAAATTCCCATTTCCCATTCTATAGTATTACATATACTATACCTTTCTTTGTCCAGCCATTCAATTTTCCTTTGTGCAATATGATGAAGCATCCCTCATAGTTTGCTTGCTCATTGGTAATAGTGACAAGGAGCATATTCTTCATTCATGTGATAACCAACCTGACCCCAAAATTTGAAAACTTACATTCTATTTATCTACAAAAGAATTCTCAACAAGGTTATGTACATTGTGACTAGCATGTGTCTCAGCTTCATTAATGTTATAGATTGTCATTAGATTGTAACAAACTAAAAGTATAATGATAATTAAAGGGAATAAAGAATGATTTAACCGGAGGGTAGTCACCCACAAAAGTCCTGTCAGCTCTCCTGCTGCTCTACAAATCAGAATCCTTTATGGACAGAATAATGCATCAGTGTTTACTGCTTCCAGTTCACGAGTCTGAATTTTAAGGTTTGTGGAGCAGCAGGAGAGGTGATAAAACTTTTCTGGGTGACTGTAGAACTGAAATTTACTGTTATACTGGAGGCTTCTTCAGAAATAATATTGACGGTGTTGAGAGCTTTATCATCAACACTCCAACACATTCATCCACGCATTCATTTGTTAAGACTAAAACTAATCAATTTGGAAAACTTTTTGGAGTCGGTCTCTACTTAAATTCCTCAGATATAAAGAAAGTAAACATGAATAATTTGGGGAAGAGAACTAAAAATGTTAAAATGATGACACTTTTAACTCCTGCCAATTCCACCAGTGTTTGGCCACATTTGTTATTGGCGAGTGTACACAAGGTAGTATTCAAACAGGGAACTCAGTCCTCCTCACTAACCGACTGAGGTCAAATACAGGACCATTCACTTGTGAGGTGACCAGAGAGAGGAGTTGTGTTTCCTCCTCGTACACTTGACAACAAATGAATACACAGTCGGTCTGCTTGTCAATAGTGTAACGACCCTATTGATGGACCAAGATCCTAGTAAGCGGTGAGGTAGCCCATAAGCTGCTGAATGCTACGAATCAGGGTAAGAGGCTTATAGAAAAAAAAAACCCCTAAATTTAGGGCTAAAATCTAAACAGGAACTACCTTGAATAAAGTTCTTGCTCTTCACCATCAGTATCAGATAACAAGGGTACTTTCTGGTAGCCATCTGCTGGAGATAATGAGATGTGCTGTTGCTGAGGCGGGGGAGGTTTGGGGGGATATATGGCCTTCAGGACCACATGAAGCGCAATGCCGATAATGCATAGCAAGAATCCCATCTGTTGAATGAAGAAGACTTTGTATAGAGGTACAGGATACAGCACTTTATCATCTAAATGCATGCTTTATACACATTACTAAACTATTATCAGATTTTATGCCCAACAATACAACTCTACTTTTCCTTTTGTCATCTGACCTGTGTAGTGGATGTAGTATACAGTATATAGTGCAGTGGATGTAGCATAGATGTTAGTGTCATTAGATATAGTGTAGATAATAATCATAATAGTGTAATGTGAGTATTGTAATGACAAATTACGGTGGACGAAGTGTTGATGGTAGTGTAATTCCTGTAATGTAGATACTGTAGTGGATGTGGTGTTGATGATTCACCTGACACACTTCCCTTTTATATCATCCTCTGCAGACTTACAGTACGTATTTGGCTTCACTAATTGCCATATATGACAATAAAACTTACTAAATTGATAGAAGTTAGATGTTCATTGTAAATATAGACGGCCAGGGACAGAGTCATGACCTCCTTGGCCACACCGGCAATAGAAAACGTGAGTGAAGACGTGAAACAGACGACGAGGTACTCAGACACCTGCAGTAGAGAAAAGAAATTACAATCAATGTTTAACTCTGAGTCCAGAATGGTTAAAATATCATCGTCAGAGTGTTAAAACAGCGTCATCAAAGGGTCGTATCACCGACATCAAAGGGTTAAATCATTGTCATCAAAGGGTTAAATCATCATCGTCAAAGGGCTAAATCATCGTCGTCAAAGGGTTACGCCATTGTCATCAAAAGGGTTAAATAATTGTCATCAATGGGTTAAATCAGTCATCAAAGGGTTAAATCCTTGTAGTCAAAGGGTTCTATCACCATTGTCAAAGGGTTAAATCATCATAGTCAAAGGGTTCTATCACCATCGTCAAAGGGTTAAATCCTCGTGTCAAAGGGTTCTATCACCATCGTCAAAGGGTTAAATCATCGTTGTCAAAGGGTTCTATCACCATCGTCAAAGGGTTAAATCATCGTTGTCAAAGAGTTCTATCACCATCGTCAAAGGGTTAAATCATCGTTGTCAAAGGGTTCTATCACCATCGTCAAAAGGTTAAATCATCGTAGTCAAAGGGTTCTATCACCATCGTCAAAGGGTTAAATCATCGTTGTCAAAGGGTTCTATCACCATCGTCAAAGGGTTAAATCATCGTAGTCAAAGGGTTCTATCACCATCGTCAAAAGTTAAATCATCGTAGTCAAAGGGTTCTATCACCATCGTCAAAAGGTTAAATCATCGTTGTCAAAGGGTTCTATCACCATCGTCAAAGGGTTAAATCATCGTAGTCAAAGGGTTCTATCACCATCGTCAAAAGGTTAAATCATCGTTGTCAAAGGGTTCTATCAACATCGTCAAAGGGTCCTATCACCATAGTCAAAGGGTTAAATCATCGTTGTCAAAGGTTCATTCACCATCGTTAAAGGGTTAAATCATTGTTATCAAAGGTTCATTCACCATCGTTAAACGGTTAAGTTCTACAATATATCTACAACAAATCTATTAAGACAATATATAAACCTCACAAGAGAGGGTCAGGGAAGATATGGGGAGAGTGATGTGACAAATTTAATAGCGACAAAGGAATTAATATGTTCAAAAACACCAAATTCATGGGACGTGTTAAGATCAAAAATAACTTTTCCTCCATTTACATTTTATTGAAGTTTATAATGAGTCTTTTTTCTTTTTATAAGCCCCTTGAACTTCTGAGTAAAATATATAATGGTCTGAGATGTGTGAATGTTGATAAATGTGTACAGAAAAACGCCCTGTCTTGTACGTGATGATGGTGTATCACTGGGTACACGAGAGGACCGCACACACTACCAACACTGTTGAGCTTAACTAGCGAGCGGTGGCTTCATATTTTGATGATAATGACAGATACAGTGAAACCTCTATGTAACGGCAGACTCCATATAATCCATTAGATAGGGGTTTCACACCTAAATGACCCTTGATATAACAGACTTTTATATCTATATAAATCGTTAGATGGAGTTTCACATCTAACGGAGCCTCGATATTATGGACTTTCTTCTCCATATATTCCGTTAAACAGAGGTTCCACTATACTGTACACATATTTTGCCAACATGATTCATTACAGGTGCTCCCAGATTAGTGATAAACAAAAGAAGTGCAATCCAACAGTTGAAGTCTATGTCTCACTTACCTCCATGAAGAAGGCAAGGACCGCCCCAAACATGACTCTGCCCCACATATGTAAAGCATCGGATGAATCAGTAAATCTGAATCCATATTCACTCGCTGCTATCGCTGTGCCTGAAACAAACACACAGATACATATACCAGTGCTGTAAGGGATAGGTCTTGGACTTTGTTGGCTCAACTACGTCATTGACATATACCAAGGTCTGCTTAGGTAAGATTTACATACCACAGTACTGATAGATGGGGAAGTGAAGTGAAAGATTGGAGGAGTAAAATATGATAGGAAAGAAAGGGGATGATGATGATACTGAGGGAACAATTCAATACTTAGTACACAGATTGGTATGATGGTAGAATTGCAATAGCTATAAATATTTAAGAAATACAACTGATATGGAGGTTCATGGACAGAAATTTCAGGGTTGACTCACCTTCCATGATGATAGCCAATGGGAGAAGAGAAACAGTCATCCACGGCTGAATGTGATATACCATGTCAATAGGGTTACTTAATCCCAGCTCAGACTTCTGCATCACTAACTGGGATAATGTCCACCGCAAACCACTGTAAAGGTGGGAGGTGAAGATTGAAAAAATTATTACTTTCAATGAATTCATTTAATTTATCAATATCATAATGTTCTTTCCTACTACACAGAAATCTCTCATCCCCACTGACCCACCCTGGTCTTGAAGCAACTAATATTCATCTTTAACAGTCTTCACTATATGGACACCAATTTTACTATTTTATTCAGCTCATTGGTGACAGTGTACACAAGGGATTAAATTCTCCTTGTTCAGCATCTACACAATATGTGGCATTGCTTTACATCAACTCATAACCACATCCAATCTGCTCTTCTGCACTTACCTTTTTTAGTCTGCAACAGTTTAAACATCCAAATATTTTACCAAACCACTTAAAATATAGACAATTGACTGCCACAAATTCATGTTCAATACACTTGTGCCACATATTTAATAATTTGATGAATAAAATGCAAACAAATGATACTGTATGGGTAAATGGGGAGTACCTGAGTAAAGACGCTATGATGACCAGAATGAACCCGAAGAGGTTAAACTGCGTGTACTTGTAGGTGAAGAGGAAGAGACCCCCGGTAATGAGTACCACTAGCACCACCACGCTACACCTCTGAAATGTCAACCCTCATTCAACATCTCAACACATACAGTATATGAAACCTCCATATAACAGACTTCTCTCTCCATATAATTCAATAGATGGGAGGGTTCACATCTAACGGACTTTCATCTTTATACAGATCGTTAAATGGAGGTTTCACATCTAACAGAACCTTGATACAACAGATATTCTTCTCTGTGTTACATAAAGGTTTCACTATATACACATGAGGCCCTGGGTAGTGTAACAGAATAAGACGTGTTTCCAATAGGCCCCAAGCACTACCTACAGCCTGGATGCCATGTATAGCAATGATCCCCAGTCCTGTATCTATGTTAACATTTCTTTTATATTTTACATTTAAAGGAAAAAATAATTCAGCTTTATAAAATATAACATTGTAGTGTATGTTTCTTTTCTATAGTCTATAAAACATCACTCTAACTCAAGCTATAACATATTACTGTACAATACAGTGAAACCTCCATATAATGAACTTATCTCTCCATATACACTAATTTGTTAAATGGGGGGTATTCACCCTCGATATAATGGAGTATCATCTCTGTATAGTTCGATAGATGGAGGTTTCACATCTAACTGCCCCTCAATGTAATGGACTTTCTTCGCCATGTAATCCGTTAAATAGTTTTTTCACTGTACGTTTTTCTAAAGTCAATATGCTGTAACACCACCTTACCTCAAACAAATTCAACATATCCTAGCATTCCGTCTCCCTCACAAAGCCCTTCTATAACGAGGGGTAACATTTAATATTACGGATACTCAACAAATGATACGGGAACTCACCATTTCCTCTAATTTGAAGATAATAGCAAATATTAAAATAAATAAGAGGGCTGTAGACTTGGACATCGTGTATCTGAAGGAAGAAAAAAATGAGTGATATAGTCAACACCCAGCGAGCCAAGTCAAAGGCCAAACAATAATACAACTCACAACTTTAAGCATTAGGCTATATCAATTTATGCTCTAGGAACATCGAGTGAGACGATAAGATGACCTTTATGGCCCGCAGAAACAAGGAAACGGTCCACTTTTTTATCACATTGACTCTACAAAGTTCATGATCTCATAATTTCTTCATAAAATTAATCTAGCACCTCCACACTACCACAGGTTCACGTCTATTTTTTTTAAAGCAACTGTAGCAAGTTTAAAATAAATTCACAGAAAGTTACAGTTTATTGCACATATACAGTACTGTACCCTGAGCATAATGCCTGGAAGGACAGACACATGGACTACCAAACAGATAGATGATGACATATGCTATCTCCCTCACTTTACTGCTGGTAGAAGAAATAATAATAAGGAAGTTGACTGCCCCACCTACAAACCCAATTGTGCAAGGTGGGCAGAGAGGTGGAACAGCATAAATTGTGGCATTTGAGAGGCAGAACATTAGGGATCTCAAGAAAATTAAGAACCCTAGCTTATTTCACCTCTCAATTAAACACCCTAGTCTTAACCTAATCAAATCTAACCCACTCCCTCTTCAGCATTAGGGTGTTCAATCACCTGGTGAAATAAGCTGAGGAGTTCCTAATCTTCATGAGATCTGAGTACAGTACCACAGAGACATCACAGCCACCATTAAACTAAATAACAATCCAATCCATTCTTCCTAGGGTAAAAGGAGAAAAGGCTCTACTCCCTGCACACACACAAAAAAAATCCTACCATTTTAGCACCAGACAGTTCAACAACATATCAGTAATATACGTACAAGGCTACAGTGATGAACTCAAGGGACCACTGAGAGAGGCCAATATCAATGCCTGCAGCAGCCCCAGGAGGTAAAACCCTTCTCCAGTAAATGTCCCAGGGAAGTGTGACTCTTGGGATACCTGTTACCAGAGTGTATGTTACCCGGAACAGCCCGGCCAGGACAAACTTTATGAAGAGATGTACTATTACTACTGTTAGAGGAAACTTGAAATCCTGAAACAAATATTGATATATGTTAGACACAGGCACTGATTTCTGATGACTTCCAGCATTGATGACTAAGCCATATTTCCCTTCCCCACCAATACCCTTGCCAGCTTACTAGCCATTCAGGCAGTTGGTCTATCCAGTTTAAGTATAGGAAAAAACTGGAGTCTGGGAAACCTGTGGTTACAATTGATAACACCCTTCTCACATGTATTCCAGCCAAGCAGGACTCAAACCCTTTACATATTGGTGAAAGATACTGTACACTGTACTATACCATCAACACCCCCTAAAAACATGTCCTCTGTGGATTCTTGTCACTTAAACATTTTTCATCTAGTAAAATATTCTTATATATTTGTCTTATCAAGTAAACCATGAAGAGCCTGGTGGAAAGATTTCCATTGTTGTCGAATGTGAATCAACAACAAAAGCTCAAAAATATTAAGAACAAGCACATTTATAGTGCCATGTTTTATAATCTATAATAATAAGGCTTGGATTTGAACACATCATTGGACTCCAACTAAAATTTTACCAGCAAGACTTGGATGTGAACATGGCAGACTCAACCACAGGGAGAGAAACACGGCTGGTGTTCCATACAGCAAAATGAACGAATATCATAAAGTACTCGTGCATGGAGTAAATTAAATCCAGCCAAATCTATTAAAGATCACTTCAAATTTTGTCAGAGTTAAGAGGAATTTTGTGAGTACTGTACTGTATTAGTATTTGTGTAAGACTTCGTGAGAACTAATCCTGGATAATTCTTAAAAATCATGAAAAATAATCTCTCTCTCTCCACGATAACACCACCATAATAACACCTTACTTCTTACCCGGAATAACCTCTTCTGGTAAAATGTGAGGCCGATGGAGCAAGTATAATACATAAGGATAAGAATCAATGTTCGTATACAATGGATTATCATCTGCCCAAGCCTCCGTCCTCCCCGCCGCCTCGTTAGCCGACCCTCCGTCACCTCCAGCCCCGTCATGTTCACGATACCTGGTGGAGAAGACAGTTTAATGAATAGCCTAGAAAAAAATCTGCATGCACTTAACTGGCATACTCAAGTGATGATGTTCATGCCTTATAGATATATATGTACAGTAATGGAATAAAGTCCCAGCAGCCCCTGTCCCATCCATGAACCCTGAGACTCATGAACCTATGAATCCAAGACGTCACATAGTGTGCCATCTATGGGCCCAACAGAGTGTGATGTCTCGGATTCACAGGTTCATGGATGGGATGGAGGATTGACAGGACTTTTTTGTGACAGCACAGTAATAAAGCAGCACAGACAGAGTTTAATAAATAAATCGATAGGTAGAATTGTAGATGCTTACAATATAAAGAGATGTATCTACAGTAGGTAAGCATTTCACTGAGATCAAAATATATTTAAATTTGCAGTAATGCAATAGGAGATAAATATATTTCTCTGGATAGTACAAAATAGTATATACAATACAGGGGGTCCCTGGGTTATGAACGAGTTCCGTTCTTGAGGACGTTCTTAAGTCGGAAATGTGTGTAAGTTGGAACACATGCCCTATGTGCAGTATATCATAGCCTAAGTCCTTTTATACATCTCGAATCACTTAATTTACGAGAAAAGAAGAAATTGAATGACAATATACAGTAAAGGAAAGTAAAAATTTAAGTTCAACATTTACAGTACATTGAAACCTTGGGCTGGCTGATCTTCCACCCATATCACTAGCAATTTTTCCATTTCAATTAACATTCCACTTCCTTGTTTTGTTATCAAAGTTGAATGCATTGGTATAGAACCTTTTACATGTTCAAGAATTTTGTGTTTGTCCTTGAAAATTGTTCCGACCGTTGACCAACTGAAGCCCAACGCTTTACCAATGACTGAGGGTGTTTCGCCTTTTTCAGAATGCTTAATTACATCAACTTTCACTTCCATTGCAATTGTTTTCCTTTTCTTAGATGTACTACTATCCCTTGCATCAGGTTTGCATTTGGAAACCATGATGAGGCCAAAAAAAGTTAATAAGCAAAATCAACAATTTGCACTTGATCACACACATTATTGAGGTGAGGGTAAGGCGCACTGGCACTCCCTCAATGTGCGTGGCTGGGTGACGCATTACTACCCATTATGCCACGCAAACTAGTTCTCATACATTAATACTATGAACCAGTTGTACTAATGTCTGATTCTTAAAGTAATTGATCTTATGGGACCTTGTTCATAAGTCGGGGACCCCTTGTACATTATAGCAAAAGGAAGCCATAACAACTGAGAAACAGCCTCAGAAGAAGAAGTAACTTGTCAAACCACTAGAGTAAGTACTGAAACAAACCCCCCAATCACAGGTGACATTCAGGGCCACTATACACAAAACTTTTTAGTGCTAACAAACAGCTGTTAAGGCTGACATTTTCCTGTTTAGCACTAATAGTACATACACAAAACTTTTAAGAGCCTTAATAGTTCTGTTAAGTTAAAAGGTCCCTGGAGCACTTTTAAGTCCCGTAATAGTCGTCTGTTAGTTGATACCATGGCGAGCCATCAACAACATCAGTGGCGGCAACGCATTTATGGGGAAAGGAGAGATACAGTCTCTCCTCGACTTATTACGGGGTTCCGTCCCGACGACCAGGTCGTAAGTCGAAGGCGAAAATAATACATAGAAATTCTAAAATGAAATACAGTACAGTGAAAGTAATCAATAATGAAAAATGATTAAAAGTGTTACTGTGTACTTACCATTAATGTAGTCAGCTGAATGCACACGGGGCCTCAATAATTTTTTAATTAAGCATGAAGTCTACATTAATTGGATGAAGCAGAGGAGGAGACAGGGCCGTCAGTACGTCCGGGTTGTCTTAAGTAGAATGTGTCGTAAGTCAAGGAGAGACTGTATATTTAACGAATATAGTGGTTCTGAACTCATCATGTGATGCCGACTGGACCGTGCAGGTATCATGGCAGTTACTGATTTAGTGAGAGAAACACTACAAAGTAGAACTGGGAGGAATAGGGCTCTAACCCCAGAGATGAAAGTGGCCATAACCTTGCGTTATTTAGCGACTTGGACAATACTGAAAACCAGCATATCTCACACTCTGCCACTAACCTCACCACACCAGGAAGTGCAACATAGACTCTCATGGTGATTTCCAGCCATGCCCTCTTTCTGTCTTTAGTATTTAGGAAAGGCTTGAAGCAGCCATTCAATATTAACTTTTTCTCTTAGTGACCTCCATCAATAATAAAGTCTGGTCTGCTGTCCAGTTGGGCTTCCTTTTCTTGTGAGGGGTTGAGGCTTCCATTTCTTCAATAACATGTGTGTGAGGGTTTGTTTACAAACAGCACGGTAAGGCCAAGCCACCGATCACTATCCTTGGTTAATATATCCTCCTTCAAACTACATAGATTAGAATTTTTTTATTTTAACACTTAAGCCCGGGTTAGGGTGCTGCTGGCAGTAACCCCCCCACACAGGGATAAATTGAGAAAATCAACTTTTCCAAAAAACAAAAAAAAAAAAAAAAAATAGCGGGAAAATAGGCGGACGTTCTGGAACGTCACCCGGGGCCTAGGGGTTAATGATAAAAATGTATATAAATGTAAATATTGAAATTAATCTTCATAATTTTATTGAGGTTATTCAGCCATAAGACCATTTTATATGATAAACTCCTGCTACCCTTAGCGCTGTTTAGCAGTACTTAACAAACAACTGTTTGTGCGGTAAAAGTTTGCTAGTTAAGCTTTGTGTATACACTTTAAAATTTTACTGCTAGTTAACAGAACTATTTTTGTCATTAGCAGAAAAGTTTTGTGTATACCAGCTCAGGTGAGTAGGGGTAAAATAACAGTAACTAGCTAAGGACTTTCTCACACATACAGTATACTGGTCACTCAAAACCCAGATAACCAGAGGGAGAAAATTAACCCCTTAGTAATTGGCTAATAAAAAAAAAAGGTGGAATGTTGAAGTAGAAAGAACGTGTATCAATTATAATAATGTACAAGTAAAATCAAGAGTTTCTAAAATACAGTACTACACTGTATTTGAAACATATTGCCCTGTGCCCCTGAATGTTAAATCATCTTTACATACTTTGTCTCAAAAATATAAACTAACTTTACCATTTAATCATGAAAGTACAATACAGTCGGCCCTTAACATACACGGGGGTTACGTAACAGAGATACCCGTGGATGTTAAAAATCCGCGTATTTTTGCTGCCCCCCCTCCCCCCCCAAAAAAACCCTGGCCCCCATGTCCTTATTTACCGTATATACCTGTGTGTAGTTCGAGTTTTTAAGACCAAATTATTTGGCAAAAAATTGGGGGTCGACCTCTAAACGGGTAACAGTTTCGTTAGGTTGAAAAATATTTACCAGTAACTACCAGTAAACAATGGAATCGATGCACCAATGCACCACCAGATGTGAGTGTTGGTACAGTTGCCAGGGCAGATCTCTTGCATCATCATAGCAAGCCCAAAGTAGCCAAATCCATGGTATGGTAGCACAAGACGATGTAAAACATAATGTATTCATTTATTAAAGTTTATTTATAGATACTGTACATAAATTTTTGTTCATTACATTTGAAACATCAATCTTTGTTAATTAAATTTGAAACAAAAGAAAACTACGATACCGTATTTTCATTAAAATATTACATCACAAGTATATTTTACTTTAACTGTGACTGAATGAATATACGTATTCTCAGAAATAAATATGGAAATATAATATTTTTGCTGGAATGACGTACATAATACAGTGGAAAGTGGGATAAAATCATGACGAAAACAATGACTTTCGCTTTCTTTCGTTATTCAAAAGATTTTACCGTAATCGCTTTTCGAATGGTTTTCAGTTAAAAAACTGTTGCATCACAAGTGAATTAGGATAGCATATTATTGTAATGCAACAGTTTTTTAACTGAAAACCATTCGAAAAGCGATTACGGTAACATCTTTTGAACAAAAGAAAGCGAAAGTCATTGCTTTCGTCACTTTCCACTGCAATACGTAAGTCATTTCAGCAAAATATTACATTTCCATATTCTCAGAAATAAATAGTAGTTTTGCTGAAACGTAATGCATTTCAATGTAAATTAGGATAAACTACATGAAAACAAAAGACTTCACCTAAACTTCCGATGTTCAAGATATGTTACTCGTTTTTTTAGTAGTTTTCGGTTAAAATACTCTTATATTAGTGATATTCTATTCATACTGTGCTTGATATACAGTGACCCCTCGTTTAACGAACACCTCGGTTAACGTAATTTCGATTAACGAACTGCCTTCCATAAGGATCTTCAATTCGGTTAACGAAAAAAAATTCGCTTAACGAACTTCTTACGAACCGACCTCAACATGTTTTCGCTTGCACTGACCGGGCAACCAGCTTTAGTATCAGTCCGCCAATACATTAATCGGTTCTAGGGCTTAAATTCCTTACTATTTTTGTAAATATCAAGAAGTTTATACTATTCAATAATTTTAAAAGTTTAATATTCAATTTTTTAGTCATTTTAACAATTATTGAACAAAATTGAAGGTAAAGTGACTAGTTTAATGCGCGGCATCCAGCCTCTTAACACAGCAAACAGGCGTCAGTCTCTCTCTGTTTTCAGTGGAGGTAACATCTTGCTTGAGACTCTCTTCAACTAAATGCTTTTTTTCTGTGTTTCCAAGCGAATTATTGGTCATTTTGAAATATATTTTATATAATGACAATATATAATGCAGTGCAGCGTTGATTTAAAGTAAATAATCTTGAATTAAACCAGAGAGCTAAAATTTTATGGGTGAAATGGCACCATGGGGTGACTTCTCTTCCACCCCAATGCCTTCTCTTCTTCCTTCTCCTCCACCCCCATTCTAAATCCCATCATCATCATCATCATCCAGGAGCCTTCTACATACACACCTCCAAGTAAGTGAACTTTTCTACCATTTTTGTTGAATTTAGGAAATTTTCGGTGAGCTGGAACCAATTACCCAAAAACCCATTGAAACAATGGTTTCGGTTAACGAACGTTTCGATTAACGAACGACCTTCTGGAACGGATTGAGTTCGTTAACCGAGGGGCCACTGTAATACATTCACGGAAATGTAATATTTTTGCAACTACAATGCTGATGTCAACACAAGCGTGGTTACAGCGAGACTGACTTTGTGAGGGAGAGCTATGCGTGTGTGTGTGAGGTTGCGGGAGCGGGCGGTGTCCCGTGTTCTGTGCCGCGTGCGAGTTCAATGGCGCCCGATTTGAATGTACCGTATATACTCGTGTATAGTTCGAGTTTTTAAGACCAAATTTTTAGGCAAAAAATTGGGGGTCGCCCTATACATGCGTAATAGTTTTGTTAGGTTGAACCCGTGCATGATGGGAAGGGCGAGGAGCAACTTTTAGCTTCAGACATGAAAAATATTTACCATTTACTGCCAGTAAACAATGGTAACGTATAATATGTACCAATTAGTAATGAAAAGTTGTGCAGTTCCTTCAGCAAATGAAGCTCACCAACTTACAATAGGCTAAATTACCTTACAACGCGCTTTCAGTAGTCTATATTGAAGTTGTTAGCACAGGCTAACTTATCTTATCATATACGGTATCACAGTTCTCATTGATCTACAAAAAATACGGGTAATAAAAACCTTTTCTATATTTCACACTTAATATAATACCCGGTAATCTACTTCAACCTCCTATTGTTTACAACGACGCATGACACACCACCAGCTGTTGAGTGTATCAGCTAGACGGTACACGTGTTTTTCAAATCGTTTTCAGTTAAAAAACTGTTACATCACACGTATATTTTACCTTAACTATGCCTGAATGAATATATACTCGGAAAAAAATAGTAGTTTTGCTGAAACGTGATGTATTTTAATGTAAAATAGGATAAAATACATGAAGAAAACAAAAGACTTTACCTAAGCTTCCGATGTTCTTGAGATGTTACTCGTTTTTTTAATAGTTTTTGGTTAAAATAGCTATATTACAATTGTATTCTATTCATACTGTGCTTGATATAATGCATTCACGGAAATGTAATATTTTTGCTGAAATGACGTACATATTACAGTGGAAAGTGGGATAAAATCGTGACGAAAACAATGACTTTCGCTTTCTTTCATTCAAAAGATGTTACCGTAATCGCTTTTCGAATGGTTTTCAGTTAAAAACTGTTGTATTACAATAATATTCTATCCTAATTGACTTGAATAAATACTACGATACCATATTTCGGAATATTTTCATTAAAATCCATCAAAATCATTTTCCTTGTCATCGTCTGCAGCACCAAACAGCTCCTCCCAGTCTTCTCCTTGAACAGGGCTAGAGGGTACGTGTTTTTCGAATCGTTTTCAGTTAAAAAACTGTTACATCACATGTATATTTTACCTAAACTGCGCCTGAATGAATATATTCTCGGAAATAAATAGTAGTTTTGCTGAAATGTGATGTATTTCAATGTAAAATAGGATAAAATACATGACGAAAACAAAAGACTTTACCTAAGCTTCCGATGTTCTTGACAGGTTACTCACTTTTTTAATAGTTTTCGGTTAAAATTCTGTTATATTACAATGATATTCTATTCATACTGTGCTTGATATAATGCATTCATGGAAATGTAATATTTTTGCTGAAATTACATACGTATTACAGTGGAAAGTGGGATAAAATCGTGACGAAAACAATGACTTTCGCTTTCTTTCGTTCAAAAGATGTTACCGTAATCGCTTTTTGAATGGTTTAGTTAAAAAACTGTTGTATTACAATAATATTCCCTCCTAATTGACTTGAATAGATACTTGAATGGAAATATACAATATTTTTGTTGAAATTACCCGCGTTTCAGTGTAAAGTGGTGTAAAGTGTCGTATCGTAATAATAAATGGTAAACAATTTGCCTTCAGCACTCGGTGTTTCGGGCACGGCGAGCCTCAGTTTATAGGACGTAGAGCGTTTTTACTGAAGGTTTTGTTGTTCCATTACCCTCAAAAACATGGGTCGACCTATAAACGAGGAATATCATAAATTAACGATTTCTTGGTCAAAAAATCAGGGTCGACCTATAAACGAGGGGGGGTTATAGACGAGTATATACAGTACTTCAATTACTTCAATGTACAGAATATTCCTCCGGCAGGGCAATCCGCGTATTTGCAAATCCGTGTATGCTAAACCCGCGTATGTTAAGGGCCGACTGTACTGTAGTTTTGAATTTCCGGAAAAAAAGGCATTTGTCGCCCCAAAACCACCTGACGTCAAGAGGTCAAAACCTATATTTTATTCAAATTTCATACTGAGGTATTATTTTACATGCTGGTTAAGGATCTGGGTTCAAATCAAAATATTTTGATAATTAGTGTTAATTAATGACCCTTGAAAATATTAAACACATTTAGAATATTAAAAACATCAATTGCTCTGTGCCCATAAGTTTTAAATCACCTTATGTAAATTTTCTAAAAAATATAAACTAACATTACCATTAAGCATGTTAGTTTTCAATTTCCAAAAATATAACATTTGTCACTCTGAAATTGCCTGACCTATTACCTTGTGTTTCTGTACCTGAAGTCAAAACTTAGATTTTATTCAAATTTCATACAGAAGTACTGTACTGTACTTCAAAAAGTTCACTACTGCCAGCTGAAGATCACATGATGCTGAGCCTGGCATTCCTGATCTCCTCCAGCTCAAGTCTGGCAGTCATCAACAATGATATAGTGAAACTTCTATTTAACGGACTATATGGAGGGAAAAATCTGTTATACTGAGGATCCATTTGATATGAAACCTCCATCTAACGAACTACAGGTACTGTATATAGATATGAAAGCTCGTCATATCAAGGGTCCATTAGATGTGACACCCCCTATCTAACAGATTATATGGAGAGAGAAGTCCATTACTGTATTATGGAGGTGTCATTGTACAGTAATTATACTCTCTATAAGCATTAAGTGGGGTGACATGGTGAGAAAAGCTGCTAAGGTTTTCTTTACAGTGTCAGATGTCACCAGTATCAGTTGCTGGAGCTGGACAGAAATGTAACATCCTCTATTATTTCCTTAATATGTAGCCACTGTTCACAGGCTTCTGTGAATGTGTCTGCAGCCGGTCACCCAGCTCAGACCCATCAACAATAAGCTGGCTGAGGTTAGATGCTGTCACAGTTGCTTTCATTTGATGAAGTCGCTCATCTTGCTCCAAATGTAAGCACTCAGGCCTTCAATATTTTGTAATTTTGGATCACCAGAAGTTTAACCCCCACAGCTTAGTTCACCTGAATATTAACCTCCCTAATACTACCTGAAAGGGGAGATTGGTCGGGCTAGGTAAGGTTAGAATAATTAATTTTAGGACAAAATAAGCTTGGGAGCGAGGGGAGGCTGAAATTCTTCACCGGGTGATTCGTAACGTCACTTTATAACAACACACATCGACCAAAAAAGAAAAAACTTAACCAAGAAGGTGTAATTAAAGTGAAGGAGACAGTAAGTTGTCAAAAGAACAACAAGAACACCATCACAGACCAAGCATCAGCAGCAGCACCACCCAGGGAATACAACACAACACAGTACTACTCACCATTGGTTCCATCTGTTGTGTCAATCTGTCCACTCGAGATATTTCCTTCCATGTCAGCGGCTGTGGTCACTCTCTTTACTTTTTACTGGGAGGGGGGATCAAATATCTCCTTAGAAGTCCCTTAGGAGGTTATGGAGGTAATTTAAGAACTTTGTTTGCTATACTGCACTGTGTAAAAGTTTGCGAATAGATATGAGGGAAAAAATAGTAAATGATATGAACATAGGTAAGATTAACACACCACAGTGTGTTAGCCCTGTTGCTAAGGGGTAGGCAGAGACATCATCCCAGCTGGGCTGCATTGTTATGATGAGCTTTGAAGCCAAGCAGCCAGTGTCTATGCAAATGACGACTGTGTTAAACTTTCATTTAACTTTTCCTCAATGGTTTTAGCTGCACTTTTTCATCCAGATAATATACAAAAGTTGCTTGAAATAGCACAATTGTTAAATAACATAAAAAAGGTATGTGGTATGTTTTACAAAAGCTGGGAAAGGAGGTACAGGAAGTTGAGTTTGCTTTAGCCTTTTGGCTTACTGTGTAGGCCGTTACTTTACATTTGCCATAATATTCCTTGCGTTTTGATATATATTTACATATTCATTATCTACAAGAGTAAAGTTGGACTTATGAACAATCCCCAAGAATGTAACTTGTTTGTAAGAAGAGGAGCACCTGCTAGGTACAAGTACACAGTGTATCGGTAACCTATTACAAGTACATAAGAAATGCCACCTTCTAAACAATGGTAATTTCCTACAGCTACTGTATCCAGCTTGGAGGTCATCCCATGGTTGCTGGATATGGGGGCTTCACTGTATAATAATTTCCTTGAGATAATTGTACAGTATTCTCAGGTGCTACTAAGAGTGTCACAGTTCTCACTCGGCTCAGCCATTTCAATACAGTATTTTTTTCATAGGTCACTTTGTATTTTCCTAGCTAAATAATGTTTTTCAATTTCAATATATTCTACATCACTATACTGGGGGCTGACAGTTTACAACACTACTGCTGGAATGTCTCGACAGTTTGGGTGACACCAGAGAGCTGAGACTGTGTTCAAGGATACACTATACAAGGGTGGTTGGTGGTTCCCAACCTCTTCTTGGCCAAGGAACCCTATAAACCAAATGTAATATTTTCTGGAACCCCAAACATCTCCATCTACTCTTTCCCCTTCTCAAACAAAATAATTAAATTACATCTCAGTAAAAAATATATACTGTATATTAAAGCCAACTCAAGTTAGAAGTTACACTTATGAATTATAAACTGATGAAATTTTATTTGTTTATTAGGATGCTTACAGGACTCATGTGTTCTAGGTTATTTAGAGTTGGGGTTTCCACATGGATTTCCCCGTTGGTCCCCGAGATAGCTAGAGGATATACTGTATTAAATGTGCAGGGATTCACTGGTAATGTATTCACTGTGTCTGTCAGGATAATGTTCCCACAGCCAAGCAAAGAACATTCTCTGGGGACTGACACATTCTAGAGGTCCAAGTGTGTGACTGACCCAGAGGTTATTGTGCAGGTCATAAGTCAGATGCCATGGACCAGAAAAAGTCCCATTCAATGTAATAAACTTATGAACTAATAAGTGTCTAAATTTCTTCATTCAAAAGGCAAAGAAAGCAACTTGAAAACATTGCTTTTTGAGAATACAGTAGAGTAATAAGTACAGTAGCTACAGCCTGGGCCCCGCATGCACATTCGGTTTAGTTCTACAATTAAAGCAATATACGTAGTTCAAATGACCCATAACTGATATATAAGTAACATGCATCCATGCCTCATTAACTGTACACAAAATGCCTTCCAGTATATATATATACAGTAGACAATGCATATTTAGAGGTGTTTACACAGGTAGTCAAATGATCCTAACTGGGTCCTTACAAATTCCTGCAAGAAAATTAGCTATCTTTGAGTAAGGCCATTATGTCAACTCCTGTACTACATGAATAACTACATGGATGAAAAAGCTATTAACACAAATAAGACAAACTCAGAAAGGATTAAAGAATAAATTTCCATTTTAGGGCCAACAGTAATAAACAAGTACTGTAATCTGTGAGAATCCACCGCCTTAAACACCCACTGTCTTGTCTAAGGCTAACAGTGACCTGCAAGACCCCAACAGGTCACACAATGAGTGACTTAAAAGACCACAATTGGTCATACAGTGAGTGACCTGTAAGACTCCAACAAGTCACTACATGCCATTAGCCATGTTACCTAATGTATATGAAAAAAAAATTTCTCTGTAAATCCATCAGTTGCATACAGTATTTGTAGATTTAAAGTGGCATATACTGCATTATGAATGAGGTTCTGTTCTTTATTTAGCAACATAAAGACAAATTCCAGTGGTATGGTAGCTTACTGGTATGGATAGCCTACCATGAGCACGTACAGTACCGGGTAGCTTTCGTTTACCATAAATAACCCACAAAAATGTATGACTCTCTACAAATCCTCCTGGGGCTCAGTTTAAGACGAATCATGCAAAATCAAATCCAAGACAAAATTCACAGTAGAAGAAACCTAGGACTTATTAATTCTACAAAAAATACCATTATCCCCCATACATGTAAAACACAAGTGACACTGCACCACGTAGGGAAAATATGAGGAATGTAGTTCAACTCGTATGAACCCATCCCGAGGTTTAACATGGTAACCTTTTAATTCATTGGCTCTCAGAGCTCCACTAGAGGGTGTGTCTTGGTGGTACAGTCTCACAGTTCACTTATCAATGACCAGTATATTAGTTGGGGAAAAAAAAAAGTTAATTTGTTTCTGTAATATGAATTAAAAAGCTTGCTGACTCAATGACATAATGAGGAATTATTAGAGCGTTACAATATACAGTACAGTAACTCAGCAGGAGTTTCTGTAAGTACCAGTATATGCTGCAGATCAATGACCTTCCTTAATGTAGCAATTCATACAATATAAGAGTGACCAGTACCTGAGTGCATAATAAGTTTCACTCCATCACTAGCATCATATTGTGTTGTGTGAAGACCATTTACAAGGTCATTATCAAGGGCTGGGGTGCTCCTCCAAAACTATGGTGTAGCTAAGCAATCACTTCACAACACCCGACAGTAAGCGATCCGATCACTTCACAATCACCGACAGTAAGCGATCACTTCACAATACTTGAGTTTTGCTGGAAAGTGTGTTAAGACATTATATATCTAATCATAGGGGGAGAGAGTACAGGTAAATTATATATTGTACAGTCAAATCATAAATTACTTGGTTCAATGGATTTCAAACTGAAAACTAGCTACCTCACCAGTCGTCTCTCAATGGGGTTGGTAGCTACAGTAAGCATGATTGTGACGTCATTTTTCTCATCCTTGTTTTTCAAAATATTCAAATAATATTCTGAAATGTAAGATTACACAGAAAAGAAAAGCATTATTACAAGTGACAAGAACAGTGCCACCAGCAGCTACACATATGCCCATCGTTAAGAAAGAATGGCTGCCAATGTGAAGCCAGATGTGGGAGCATTGTTTGGAATTTTTCACCGGTTTGTCACATTGTTTGACACTGAAGGGCTAAAAGTATTTCATGGTCTGACTGTACATTTATATTCAGACTAAAGATGATCACCTACATTTTAAGGAAATGAACTACTGCCGAATGTCAGGTGTAAATACTATCCTGTAACTATCAAATACAGTACATTAAATAACTACAGTAATAAATAATAATACTGTACTAACTTTAAGAGGAGTCCAACACCTATTCCTGTATATCGTCACAGCCATGACTAATTTTTTTTTAACAATAATCAAGACACGGAGGGATTCCCATTTTTAGTTTTATACACAAATATAAACTGTATTACCTAAAGATTTTACAGAAGCCATTCCTCCACAACTACTGCACCATAATTCCTGCCCAGCTATTGTAGAATTCCTCCCCAACTACTGCAGCATTCCTCCCCAGTTATTGCGGAATTCTTCCCCAGTTATTGCACCATCATTCCTCCCCAGCTATTGCAGCATTCCTTCCCAGTTATTGCAGCATCATTCCTCCCCAGCTATTGCACCATCATTCCTCCCCAGCTATGGCAGCATTCCTCCCCAGTTATGGCAGCATTCCTCTCCAGTTATTGCACCATTATTCCTCCCCAGCTATTGCACCATCATTCCTCCCCAGCTATTGGAGCATTCCACCCAACTACATTGGAGCATTCCACCCAACTATTGGAGCATTTTCTCCTCCCAGCTACTGCAGCATTCCTCCCCAGCTACTGCACCACTCACCTCCCTCAACTATTGGAGCATTCCTCCCCAGCTACTGCACCATCATTCCATCCCAACTATTGGAGCATTCCACCCAACTATTGGAGCATTCCACCCAACTATTGGAGCATTCCACCCAACTATTGAGCATTCCTCCCCAGCTACTGCACCATCATTCCTTCCCAACTATTGGAGTATCTCCCACCCAACTATTGGAGCATTCCACCCAACTATTGAGCATTCCACCCAACCATTGGAAGCATTCCACCCAACTATTGGAGCATTCCTCCCAGCCACTGCACCATCATTCCTCCCCAACTATTGGAGCATTCCACCCAACTATTGGAGCATTCCTCCCCAGCTACTGCAGCATTCCTACCAACTATTGAGCATTTCTCCCCAACTATTGAGCATTCCTTCCCAGCTACTGCACCATCATTCCTCCCAACTATTACAGCATCACTCCCAGCCATTACAGCGGCATCACTCCCCAGCTTATTACAGCATTGGCTCCCCCAGCTATTACAGCAGCATCACTCCCCAGCCATTACAGCATCAATTCCCCAGCCATTACAGCATCACCCCTCAGCCATTACAGCAGCATCACTCCCCAGCTATTACAGCAGCATCACTCCCCAGCTATTACAGCATCACTCCCCAGCTATTACAGCATCACCCCCAGCCATTAGCAGCAGCATCACTCCCCAGCTATTATAGCATCATTTCCCCAGCTATTACAGCATCACTCCCCAGCTATTACAGCATCACTCCCCAGCTATTATAGCATCACTCCCCAGCTATTACAGCATCACTCCCCAGCTATTATAGCATCACTTCCCAGCTATTACAGCATCACTCCCCAGCTATTACAGCATCACTCCCCAGCTATTACAGCAGCATCACTCCCCAGCTATTATAGCATCACTCCCCAGCTATTATAGCATCACTTCCCAGCTATTACAGCATCACTCCCCAGCTATTACAGCATCACTCCCAGCTATTACAGCATTCTTCCCCAGCTAATAAAGCATTCTTCCCCAGCTAATAAAGCATTCTTCCCCAGCTAATAAAGCATTCTTCCCCAGCTAATAAAGCATTCTTCCCCAGCTAATAAAGCATTCTTCCCCAGCTAATAAAGCATTCTTCCCCAGCTACTGCACCATTACTCACCAGCTATGTCTCCTCTGTGGATGCACTATGTGAATGCACGGTCAAATGAGCTTCTTTTTCACGTCAAATGAGTGTTTAATTAACGACATAGCGTAACCAAAACCTACTCTTCCCATCGTGAGAAGACTTGATCACTATCATTGCCAACGAGTAGAGGGAGAGGAACACTGCCGAAGCTGGATTTTCCTAGTCAAAGTCACAAGGAGGAAAATGTACATTGAAATCTCTATTTAATGGACTGTATGGAGATGAAAGTCCGTTATATCGAGTGTCAGTTGGATGTGAAACCGCCTTGTAATGGATTATATGGAGAGGTAAGTTGGTTACAGTATATGGAGGTTTTGCTGTATATATACTAGGGTACTACTTTCATCACATTTCTGTAACACTTACTAAATACTACAGGTTACAGTATTTCTAAGTGTTAGAATCATAAGTGAAGTTTCCATACAGAGAGCAACTTTGAGTGATAGACCACGACATTAAACCATTTTGTGGAGGATAACATAGCGAACCCAAACTAACATAGCGAACCCAAACTAACATAGCGAACCCAAACTAACATAGCGAACCCAAACTAACATAGCGAACCCAAACTAACATAGCGAACCCAAACTAACATAGCGAACCCAAACTATCATAGCTTAACAAATTAATGTAAGATTATTAGGTAAATTTAGTTTGTCATTGATTCCTTTCAAAGAAAATATTAGTGTCACAAAATGATAATAAAAGGTATACAGTATACCTAACTAGTATTTTAAGTTAGGTTAGTTTGGCTCTATCTGGAACAGAACTTTTGGACTCACTGGATGTAAACAAAGGAATATACGATTTTATGGCCATCAAATACGCAGATCTGAGTGTTTGCGATGAAATTTGTTAAAATTTACATGATAGCAAAAGACTTTTTCCTCGTCCTCTTTTTTGCCTTCTCATTAAGCAAGAGAGCTTTGACTTTTATGCGGATTCAGACGCACAACAGGTGTAAAGAATTACCCAAATACCGTAAGTAAAAAAAAATTAATTTTAAATGGGTAATCTTGTGTTTAATGGGCATAAAATCATGAGCGCTGTTGTTGACATTCAGCAAGACTGAGACCTTTTCAAAGTACCAGATGCTGCCACATTATATATACTATACAAGTATAATCTATCATTCATGAACTGAAACAAACTGATTTACCTAAACCTGAGCTTCAACTAAATACTTTGACATTAAACTATTTAGGTTAGGTTAGGTGAGGTTAGTTTTGTTTATTTTATGAATGACAAATAAATACGGTAGTAAAATTTTATAGCTACTCCAGAAAGTTCATTTTCTCTGAATGTCCACTGCAGTGCTTGTGATTTTATGTCCATTAAATGTAAGATCACCATAAACTGCCAATATTACAACGTAAATGTTAACAAGAGAAATGCAGCATGGTAGAGGCTCAACCACATTAAAATTGAGTAGTAGTGAAGCAGACAGCTAACACCAGGAGATGTTAAATTACGTTTATATTTTCTACAGATGATCTTTGCACAACAGTAGGTAATAAAAATGATACAACTTTTAATTTTAATAATATATCTTTTTCATAGATTTTCTCTAACTACATTCATAAATCACCTGTAGTGGGCAAGTTATGAACGATGAGGAAAATTTCAGGGCAAAACACAGCAAAAACCGATCACATGACACTAAAATGATGTCTCTACATGCTTTGTACATGAAGAAATAATTATTTACCATAAATATGCCACCGAAAAATTTGTCATATCAGCGTGTTATCGTCAACTCTTTGCTGCAGTGCAACAACCAAGCCACTCGGTCCGAGAGTACTCTCATATAGACAAAAAACATAAAATTACACCATGATGCTTCAAGAAAGTTGCTTTCATTGGTACCAGATCTCAAAATAAGTTCTTTCTTTTTAATATGGCAGGGGGTCTGCCCACGGCTAAGAAGTTAGGTAAGGTTAGATAGGCAGTAAAATTGTCACTTCGGTCATGCACCTATTTTCCAAACATCAGAATCGTTCAAAACTTACCAAAAAACAATCAAAAAAACATAAGTTCAACCTAACCTAACCTGAACCTAAATTCACTGCATGACCAAACTGATAATAATACCAAGATAGGTAGGTTTCATTAGGTTCTGTGAATTGTCGTATCATTTTTATTACTGTACTTACTATCATCCAAAGAACATCTGTGGAAAAAATTAACAAAATCAAACAAATCGTTCTAGTGTTAGCCATCTGCCCCACCTCTACCTAA